CTCCCACTCACCTGCTGTGACAAAACCAGCCCTACATAAGCTGCCCCTATGGAGAGGCCCATGTGGGAAGGAAATGCAAGTACCCTCTGCCAACAGCCACCAAGAAGGTGAATCCTGCCAATACCACTGTGTGAGCTTAGAAGCCGATTCTCCAGTGAGACCCTGAAATGACTCTGTTCCCCGAAGACACCTTAAATGCAGCACTTCAGAGGGCCTGAGCTCCGGCCCAGCTAAGCCACACAGAAACTAGGATAAAAAATGCTTTCTGGCCAGGCGCAGTGGCTCACGCCTGTAATCCCAGGACTTTGGGAGGCTGAGGCGGGTGGATCACCAAGTCAGGAGTTAGAGACCAGCCTGACTGACATAGTGAAACCCCATCTCTACTAAAAATACAAAAATTAGCCAGGTGTGGTGGTGCACACCTGTAATCCCAGCTACTCAGGAGGCTGAGGCAGGAGAACCGTTTGAACCCAGGAGGCGGAGGTTGCAGTGAGCCAAGATTGTGCCACTGCACTCCAGCCTGGGCACCAGAGCGAGAATCCATCTCCAAAAAAAAAAAAGTTTTCAGCTCCTAGGTTTTGGTGTGACCTGTTACATAGCTGTTGATAACTAACACCCTCTCCAGGTTCTTACTGAGAGCTCTCTTGTCTTTTTACAGCCAATTGTCTGCACCAACATTGCCCACACAAGCCCCAATCCACCTCGCCACTGACACGTGCCCTGCAGAGCCGAGGGCACCCTGGCATCGACACTCTTTCTTCTTTTCCTTCCCAGCCACTTCCTCCTCGGGCTTGGTGTCCTCCCTGGGCCTCTGCTCCCCGGGTCTCCTCCGTTCCAGTCCTCTGTGCAGCTGTTCTTTGGGGCTTCAGCTCCTCAGCTTCTCCTCACTTTCCAAACCCTCCCACCCAGGTGATCTCTGGATGCTTCCATACCCATCTTCATGCTGACTCCCAACTGCATAAACTGTGCTCCAGCCACCCGACAGCTGCCTTGGCAGGTTCACTTGCAAGGCTCAGAGACCACACATGGCTCTGCCTGCTGAGGGCCTTCCTGCAGCAAGCATTTCCTACTGTCCACCACGGGCACGGCCCTGCACCCTGTGCCCAGTACTGGGGAATAACTGTACCCTGAGTTCATCCTTCTCCAGGACCACCGGAGACCAGCAGCCCCTGCATCCAGGCCTGGACACTTCCCTCCCCTCCCCTACAACCAGTCAGTCAGGACATGGCACTCCTTATCCAACCCCACCGGCTCCTCCCCACCCCCACCACCATCAACCCCATTCAGGCCCCATCACCTCCCCTGCATGGCCGCCATGCCTCCCCATCACCTGTCTCCTCTCCTTCCTCCTTCCCGTTCTTCAAACCACTGCCCATGAACTCTTCCTACAAGAAACTCTGATGTAGCTCTGAACCCTTCAAGACCTATCCACTCCAAACCTTTCAATCACTCAGCCACTGCTCTGAGCATTAAGTCCAAATTCCTCCAGACAGCTTGGGACGACCCTACTTAGCTCCCAGTCTCACCTCCACTCACCCAGACTGAACTTCAGTGGCCTGTGCACTCTTGCACCTCAGGGCCCTCAGCTAAACTGATGCTACTCCTTCCTACCCCTCTTCATCTCATTAATTCATATCTATTCTCTTCAAGGCACCTATTTAAAAAGCTGCTTCTTCCAGGAAGTCTCCCTTGGTAGTCCTTTCTCCCTCCCACCATTCACAGCTCTGTCTTGTGGCCGTCTACTTACTTGCCATTCCCCCATGTCTACTTTGGTCCGTATCGTATCCCAGGGCCAAGCACACAGCAGTCATTTTGCAGGCAGAGGGTAAATATTTACTGAATGCATGAATTCAGCCAAAATCCACTGAATTATTGCATTAACTTAAATAGCATTCAGTAGGTGCTTGCATCTACTGACTCATTTAACCTAAATCTTATGCCACAACCACTATTACTACCCCCATTTAACAGAGAAAGGTGGCACACAGAGATTAACTTCCCTCAGGTTAACCAGTGCTAGGGCTAGAATCTGATCCCAAGCAGTTTGGTTCCAGCACCTATTCTCTTGACCTCAGAAAAATTAGCTCGCCAAAGAAAGTAAGGCAGTCAGGTTCAAAGAAGGTCTTAAACCTTTCATTTGTTTGTTTTTATTTTTTGAGATGGAGTCTCTCTCTGACACCCAGGCTGGAGTGCAGTGGCACAATCTCGGCTCACTGCAACCTCCGCCTCCCAGGTTCAAATGATTCTCCTGCCTCAGACTCCTGAGTAGCTGGCACACGTCACCACATCCAGTTGTTTTTTTTTTTTTTTTTTTTTTTTTTGGTAGAGATGGGATTTCATCATGTTGGCCAGGCTGATCTGGAACTCCTGACCTCAAGTGATCCACCCGCCTCGGCTTCCCAAAGTGCTGGGATTACAGGCATGAGCCACCACGCCTGGCCTATTCGTTTGTTTTTAATGATCATTTCTAGATGAACAAGAAAAGGAAATCAATATAATTTAGGATAGTAATTAAAATCATAAAAGGTCAGGAAAACTAAAAGAATTTATCCTGAGGTCATGAAACATGCAATCTAGTTAAGTATCTTCTGGAAAGAAACATCTTGCAAATAAACGCCCATCCAGAGGACTCATCAGCCATCCCCTACTTTCCATTAGAAGCTTCCCAACAGGACAGATCATGCTTATCTTTTAATGAATTTGTGTAATGTTGAGTGTATTTACAGCAAAAATAAACAGGATCATGGAAGTCCGCTGCATCGCAGATCCCAGGGTCCCAGATGACGGCCCTCGGGGCTAGCTTGTTTCATTAAGGAAACTTCCTTCAATCAGAAGGAAGGAGCAGCTCCATCCATTCCTCTCCCATTCTAATGCTTGTAGGTCTTCAAGATTTACTCTACTGTTCTACCTGCCAACCTGCTCCCAAATGAATCCAGTGCACAGCTTCCACCTGAAACTAAAAGTGAGCTTCACCCCACTTGAAAACAAACCTAGAAGAAGGAATGAACCCATCTTCTCCTCGAGCTCATTCCTCAGGACTCACAAAACACTTGGAAAATGAGCAAATATCGGCCAGGCATGGTGGCTCACGCCTGTAATCCCAAAACTTTGGGAGGCCGAGGCGGGCGGATCACAAGGTCAGATGGAGACCTTCCTGGCTAACACGGTGAAATGCCATCTCCACTAAAAAAATACAAAACAATTAGCCGGGTGTGGTGGCGGGCACCTGTAGTCCCAGTTACTCAGGAGGCTGAGGCAGGAGAGTGGCGTGATCCTGGGAGGCAGAGCTTGCAGTGAGCCGTGATGGCGCCACTGCAGTCCAGCCTGGGCAACAGAGCGAGACTCCATCTCAAAAAAAAAAAAAAGCAAATATCAGAGTGACAACACACATCCGACACCCTCTCGGTTCTCCCCTCCTCATGATGCGAGTTTAGAATCCTTTAAACAAAGCAGATTAAAAGAGAGTAATTGGCAACATTATCTTCCTACGGGACTTTGCAGTCTGAGCGCCTCACCTGCAAAGGCAGGCTGAGAAAGGGGAAGTTTTCTAGGAAAAGGTGATTATATACTATTAAGACAGGTACAATCCACAAATGCTGTTTAACTGGGGTTTTGAAGATGTTTGCGCTGTCGGATTGGTTTTACTTTCGTGTTTAAAAAGATTAGATTAAAAATTAGCATCATGAAATATTTCATCAGAATTTAGGTAATGCAATCTATCCACAAAACAATCTTTTTAAACTGGTTTTTGGGGGCTTCTTTATACGGTATAGCATCTCCTCTCATAACCACAGAATACATCCCATCAAAATTTCTCTTGTCCCCTCTGTCCACTAGACACCAATAAAAACAAGGAAGCTACCAACACTTTCTGGGAGTTTAAACAGCTGAAATGCCCTCTGGTAAGAGTGCAGGGCAGATAAACCAATCGGGTACATTTTATGAAGAATATCATCCTCCCAGACAATGACCAAACAAATGACTCTGGACCAGCAGGTCCCTGAAATATTGCGATGGAAAAATGTAAATGTACAGATGATAATTACTTTGGTTGTTTATCCATCTGTTTGCTTTCTCATATATATGGATTCATGACTACATTTAATCATCCTCCAAAGAATCATCTTGGTGAGGTTACAGGGCAATATAATAGAGTCACTGTAATTCAATAGACACTTTTGATTTCCCTGATAAGATAGAGTTAGCAATTACTGTTTGCTATCCCAACTCCAGTTCTTGTCAATACAAGTCAAATTTTACTTGATAAACTAATTATAAAAACCCTGGCCAACTACAAAAAAAAGGCACTCTGACTTATTTGAACTGAGAGTTTGTTTACTGAAATAGGTTCTTTGGGCCAGGCGCAGTGGCTCACACCTATAATCCCAGCACTTTGGGAGGCTGAGGTGGGTGGATCACTTGAGGACAGGAGTTCGAGACAACATGGTGAAACCCCGTCTCTACTAAAAATACAAAAATTAGCCAGGCATGGTGGCAGGCGCCTGTAATCCCAGGTATTTGGGAAGCTGAGGCAGGAGACTCAATTGAACCCGGGGGACAGAGGTTGCAGTGAGCTGAGATCATACCACTGCACTCCAGTCAGGGTGACAGACACCGTGTCTCCACAAAATAAATAAATAAAATATGTACTCTGAATATTGAGTATGAAGTGCTCCAGACTCCTGTCATCTAACTTGGAAAACCACCTGGTTTGAAAGAATAAGCAGAATGGTTTGCATGGATGTCTTCCTTCTAGAACAGTTTTATTCCAAATTATTCTCAATCACTCCCAACTGCAAATTAAACCAAAATTACAAAGCAAGGCAAACCACTGAATCCCCAAATATTTGAGTCTGCCATCATCCCTGGAAACCATGGTTAACTCACAGGGCAAATTTCTTATCCATTACCAAGACTACAAAGAAATGACCAGATTAGAGGCAAAAAAATCACCTGTGAAAAACAATTCTCAAAGGTAGGAAAGGCATTAGGGAGGAGTCGCACCCTTCTCCTTCTTGCCTTTCCTCCAAATGTCTCAGCCTAGACTCACTCCCAGTGCCAGCCCCAACTCAGGGCTAAATCCAGCCACCAGCTCATGGAAGATCCTATTCAGGCAACAAGGTAGGCGTGGCCTTCGAAGGACAAAAGAAGCAGTCTCCTTCATTGGGGACATGCGTCACACTTACAGCTGCCAAGACAGGGACCCAAATGCAGAAAGGCCTAATAATCTGACTTCCGGGATTAACAAACACCAAACCAAAGCATCCAAAGGAATGAAAGCAGTGACTCTGATCCACTTCCCTGAACTACAGCCTATCACAGAACACTGGTCTCATGATGACTCTGACTCATCTGGACTGAAGAGTTTGTTTTCTTAAACAGGTATTTTGGATGAGGTGCGGTGGCTCACGCCTGTAATCCCAGCACTCCTGGAGGCCGAGGCAGGAGGATCACCTGAGGTGAGTGATTACTAAATCAAGCTACTACAAATAAAAGAGAAAAATTAAAAGATAAATTTAAATGAAAGTAAAAACATAAATGTCCCTTAACCTAGCAGCCTAAGAAATAAGGCAAAAGTAAACAGGTACATGCAGAAATAGAAATATTCATCCTAGAATTTATATGAAATCTCAAAAGACCCTGAATAGCCACAACAATCTTGAAAAAAAAAAAAAAAAAGAACAAAGCTAGAAGACTTGCACTTGCTGATTTCAAAATTTAGTACAAAGCTACTGTTATAGTCTGATGTCCCCCAAAATTCATGTGTTGAAACTCAATAGCCAATGTCATCGTTTTAAATGGTGGGACCTTTGAGGGGTGATTAAACCAAGAGGATGAAACCTTCATGGATGGACTCAGGCCCCTTACAGAAGAGTTTAAGGAAGGGGGGGTTCATTCCTTTGCATCCCTTCTGCCATGTAAGGGCATGGTGTTCATCCCCTCCAGTACTCGGCCCCTCTGGCGTTCGTCCCCTCCGGTGTTCATCCCCCCCAGAAGAAAGTAGCAGCAAGGTGCCATTTTGGAAGCAGGGAGCAGCCGTCATTAGACACAGAATTTGCTAGTGCCTTCATCTTGGACTTCCCAGCCTCCAGAACTATGAGAATAAGTTGCTATTATTTATAAACTATCCAGTCTCATGTATGTTGTCCTAGCAGCATAAATGGACTAAGAAAGAACTCATAACCAAAACAGTGTCAATCAAAACAGCTGCCATAAAGATAGATATATAGAGACCAGCAGAAGAGAACAGTGAGCCCAGAAATAAATCCTCACATACACAGTCAATGGTTTCAACAGGGTTGAGTGGTTTCAAGACCATTCAATGGGAAATGGTTTCAAGGCCATTCAGTGGGAAATAACAATAAATGATTTCAACAAATGGCTGAAGACTGGATATTCACAAGCAAAAAAATGAAGCTGGACACTTGTACTATTCACAGAAATTAACTCAAAATGGACAGAAAGCCTAAGCATAAGAGCTAAAACTGTAAAACTCTTAGCAAGAAACAGGGGAAAGATTTCAAGGCTCTGGATTTGGCAATTATTTCTTGGATATGACCTCAAATGTATAGACAACAATAACAAGACAGAGAAGTTGAACTTTATCAAAATTTAAAATGTTTGTGTATCAAAGGAGACTATCAACAGAGTATAAAGGCAACACCACAGAATCGGATAAAATATTTGCAAATCCTATATCCACTAAGGGCTTAATATCCAGAATAAAGAATTCCTACAACTCAATAAAAACAAAGAAACAGATTAAAAATGGGCAAAGAGCTTGAATAAACATTTCCCCAAAAAGATACACAAATGGTCAATAAGGTCATGGGAAAAAAAATGCTCAACATCACTAATCCTTAAGAAAATGCAACTCAAAAGGACAATAAGATACCACTTCACACCCATAAGGATGGCTATGATTAAAAAGAAGACCAAAAAAAAAAAAAACCAGAAAGTAACAAGTGTTGGAGAAAAACAAGTGTGGAGAAACGCAAACCCCTGTGTACTGGTGGTGGGAATGTAAAATAGATAGGGCCACTATAGAAAACAGTACAGCAGTCCCTCAGAAAATTAAAAATAGAATTACCATATGACCTGCCAATTCTACTTCTGGGTACACACTCAAAATAAGTGAAATCAGGGTCTTGAAGAGGTATTTGTACATCCATGTTCATAGCAGCATTATTCACAAGAGCTAAAACATGGAATCAACCCAAGTATCCATCCGCAACGGATGCATAAGCAAAACTAGCATATACAAACAATGGAATACTATTCAGCCTTACAAAGAAAGGTAATTATGACATATGTTAAAACATAGTGAAGCTTTAGGGCTTTAAACTAGGTGAAATAAGCCACTCACAAAATGACAACTGCTATATGATTATGAGGTTCCTACAGTCATCATATTTGTAGACAGAAAGCAGAATAGTGGTTGCCAGGGGCTGGGAAGAGGGGGAAGGGAGAGTTAGTGTCTGATGGTCACAGAGTTGCTTTGGGGAAGATGAAAAGAGTTCCGGTGATGAATGGGGCTGCTGGTTGCACAACACGAACATCCTTAATATTACTGAACTGCACACTTAAAAATGGTTAAGACAGTAAATTTCATGGTATGTATATTTTGTCACAATTTTATAAAATAAAGGAAAAAGAAGCAAACATGTTCACCAGGGAGCTGTTTGGGAATCTACTTTTCCCAATAAGTTTGATCATGTTTCTCTGATTTTCCACTAATGTTTTGTATTCTTTATAAATGGGAGTAGACATCTACTCCCATTTATAAGAATATTTCTTTGTCATGAAATACTTTGAACTGATACCAGAGGTGGGCAAACTATAGGTTAGAAGCCAAATCTCACTGTCACCAGTTTTTGTACTCCTGTGAGTTAAAAATGGTTTTTATGTTTTTAAATACTTTGGAAAAAATCAAAATAAGAATGTTTCATGACATGCAAAAACTATAGAGTATATACACATTTCACTGTCTATAATTAAAGTTTTACTGGAACACAGCCACGCTTATGAACCTATGCACTGTCTGTGGCTGCTTTTGTGTTAACAATGGCAGGGCTGAGGAGTTGCAGCAGAGACCGTGATGGCCCACAAAGCCTAAAATATTTACTCTCTGGCCTTTAACAGAAAAAATCTACAGCCAAGCACAGGGGCTCACGCTTGTAATCCCAACCCTTTGGGAGGCTGAGACACAAGGATCACCTGAGCTGAGGCCAAGAATTTGAGACCAGCCTGGGCAATAGAGCAAAACCCTGTCTCTACAAAATGTTTAAAAATTAGCCAAGTATGGTGGTGTGCACCTGTAGTCCCAGTTACTGCGGAGGCTGAGGTGGCAAGATCACTTGAGCCTAGGAGTTCAAGGCTGCAGTGAGCTATGACTGTGCCACTGCACTCCAGCCTGGATGACAAACTAAAAAAAAAAAAAAAAAAAAAAAAAAAAAAAACAACTGTTTTCCAGAACAGCCCTAATTTCAAACATTTTGCAACAGTGCTCACACAAATCTTTAAAAAGTTTCTGCAATTACCCGGGAGGCGGAGCTTGCAGTGAGCTGAGATCCGGCCACTGCACTCCAGCCTGGGCGACAGAGCGAGACTCTGTCTCAAAAAAAAGTTTCTGCAATTTACACATTTCAGCCTCGTCCATTCAACAAGTATTTACTAAGCACCAGCCCTGTGGCAAGGATGGCAGTAGATGCCAGCAGGGCAGATGCTGCCCTTGTCCTCATGGAGTTAGATGGTGGAGACGGCCCAGAAACCAGGCGATCCCAATGCAGTATTCAACACTGCCCTCTGATTCACAGGATGCTGGGGCAGCTCAGAGTAGGGCCACCTTCACCACATGAAGGCAAGTATCCAAGGGATAGAGAGAAGTTAGGCAAAGAGCAGGAACACACAGGAAGGAAAGGAGAGAGGAAGAAGGAAGGAAGAGCTGCTGGGTGAGGAAGGTGTCTTCCGGGTTGAGAGAAGAGGACACGCCACTCTCTGACAGCTCAAGGATGTGGCTCAGCCTGGCTGGACTTCCCAGCAGCAGCACAGAGGGCAGGGCAGGGCAGGCCAGACCCCCACTGGACCTTTAAAGAACAAGCCTCCAATCTGCATCTCCCAGGCCCTCCTACATGGATGCAAGCCAGACTCCTCTGGGGGCTGCCAGCCGAGATCTGGCCTAGAGCAATTATGATCTCCAACTTCCCGCCCTACTGCAGAGGGCTGCACAAACCCAGCACGCATGAACACACTGTAGATTAAAGCCACACAATCACTAAGCAAAGTATATTAATATTTACAGCTGTTCTTCCAACTTCATGGAGTTCTTCACAGACAATTTCTAGATGAAAATCAGCAACATCCTAATTGAGGCTTTTTATGTGGTTATGATATAATGATCTACATCCCAAAACAGAGTTTTATGCTTTTCTTTTTTCTTTTTTTTGAGATGGAGTCTTGCTCTGTCACCCAGGCTGGGGGGCAGTGGCAAGATCTCCACTCACTGCAAGCTCCGCCTCCCAGGTTCACACCATTCTCCTGCCTCAGCCTCCTGAGTAGCTGGGACTACAGGCGCCCACCACCACTCCCGGCTAATTTTTTGTATTTTTAGTAGAGACGGGGTTTCATCTTGTTAGCCAGGATGGGATGGTCTCGATCTCCTGACCTCGTGATGTGCCCGCCCTAGCCCTCCAAAGTGCTGGGATTACAGGCATGAGCCACTGCGCCCGGCCTAGTTTTATACTTTTCATAACCCTTATTGTTACTCTATGTGCACAGGGCTTTATCAAGACAAAAAAAAAAAAAAAAACTCATAAATTCCAAATAGGCTGTGACGAGCTGTGCTAGCGAGCCATGCACAAAGTGAGACTCACAGCGGGTCGGAAAGTAGGTTAAGTTGACACCCATCTTTCAAATAACCTGCAATGTGGATTTAAAGAGACTGCCCAGTCTTGCTCCAAATGTGTGGCTCCACATCAGGCATCAGTGATTTTTAAAGATAATGTTAAAACTCATCTTTGGGTATTTGCAGAATTTATCAGCTTTTGATTCTCAACGACCAAGTGTTACGATCATGAAAAAGTGAGTCAAACGGTGCACAGCTTCTCTCCGAAGGTGGGACCTGCAACAGAGTCCCAGTGGTGTCAGGGCGAGCCCCACAGCACGTGGGTCACA